GAGATGCCAAATTACAAAGTTGCTATCCACAGACATGCCTGTGCACTCGACACACACCTCTTGATGATGTTTTTTCCTTCCTTGCGTGCCCGCTCGTACTCCTCCCTCTCCGACTGGCTGAGCTCGACCTGCTCCACGTACACCGTCTTGTCAGGCAGCGACACCAGAGGACGTCCATTCACCTCGCTGGTCTTGGTCCGTCGCAGGGTGATGCACTTCACCAGGGTCTGGAGGTTTCTGCACACAGTATCAAGTGCCTGAATGTAACATCTGATGTCTGATTATTTATAGAGTAATATGACAAATTCCTCCACAAAATTACAAACTTTCATCAAACATTCATTTAAGTGTCTATATGTAAGCTAATATTAGTTTACCAGCACATGTAGTTGCGCATGTAGTAACATAACTAATTCAGAAATTTGCCTGAAATGACTGTCTGTACAAGATAATACACCCTTGATTTATAAACCTTTTATTCAGACAAGGAAACACGTCCAGCCTGTTAATATGTGGAAAAAATAGGGAGAAGCATAAGGTAGAGAAACACAACAGATGCCATGTATCAAGTAAAGAAAGTAAAAAAAAAAAAAGGTTATATTACAGGTTGAAGAAGGAAAAAAGAATGAAGCTTAACAAAAACGTAACATAAAAATTACGTAATAAAACTGCACCTCAGCATCAATTTCACTCTGACTGACAGCATCAGTGTCCACTCACAGGAAATGGCTCCCTCTGGAGTGTTTTTGCTTCATTACAGCAGTATCATTTTCTTTATCTTTTTTAATTAGCATTTTATTATTGCTACATTGCAGTTCCTGTATCTCTGAGCACTTACTGCATGCCGGCCCTGTCTCCTTGCATAGCTGGTCTCTGGATTACTCTGTTCCACCACTCTCGTACATCGAAGGGCTTCAGACGCAGGAAGGCCAGCAGCATCCACAGATCCTTCACACTGTTCTGGATAGGGGTACCTAAAAGGCACAAACACACACACATAGATGACTGCATCTATGCGTACCTGATAAAATCCCTAAAATGGGTATTTGTAATTGTTAATAGTGATAAAATTAATATTATGATGTTGCCGTACATTATGTTTTTGTGTTTACTAAAGTACTCAAAATTAGAAAACCTAAGATCAGCCAAATCAGTATGTAAGATGTCACGATTTTAAAAACATGAACTTGTAAACATTCATTTTCAGTCACAATATTTTGGAAGTTTTTTGCCTTGATACACTTCGATGAAGAGATTTATCCTATGGCCACTGAAAAGTCTGGATTCTCATTGATTTAAATTGTGGACNGAAAAATGCATAAAATGGAAAGAAAAAAAAGAATTGTTTGAGTATATTTAGAAAGCTTCTGTACAGTCAAGATACCCAGTTCTAAAAGACAAACCAACAAAGACAAATCTCCAACCGTTACTGTGTGAGTGTTACCTGAGTGGCGTCTCCAGGATGGTGAGGAAGCGCGTAAACTGAGAGACGACCAAACACTTGATGCTGCTGTCTTCACTTCGCACCCTGAGTAGGTTTCCCATCAGCGCCTGCACCTGCAGAGACAAAAACACAACTTACACATGGTAGTACACAACTCTACCTTCCAAGTCTTTTAAAATAACTTCTGATTAAAGAAACCAGAGTCGTTAAAGTCCAGGATCAGAAATGCTCAAAAAGTGGGTGTCAAGCTGAGCCTTTTGAATCTAAACACCTACAATATGAGCATTTTGATAAGTCCTGCTGATGTTGATCCTGTCAAGGTAAGATCATTTACATCATTTATTAAATGTAACACTCAATGCTTTTGGTAAACAATATTTTTGTTAATTATGCAGGGATACAGAATGCTACAAAGTTTATGAGTAAGAAAACTAAACTGGTTTGTAGGCAACGTCCTTGAAAACAGTCTGTAGCTGAAAATCTTGCCGAAGCACAACTTGAATAAAATTTCCTTTTCTTAAAAACTTGTTTATACTTTTACTATGTGTGCGTTAACATTTTGATGACTATTATCTGAAGACTTAGAACCAGCAGACAAATCATTACACAGTCTTGTTACTGTTGGACTTCTTACGCTCATGAGAGCCACCTAGTGGTTAAATGTAATCATAACAACACTCTTCGTTACAGTGTACCTTTTATAGTGCTTCCTAAATGGTTGGAAAGGTTTAGACCTGACTTATTCAGTGCTGGAGAGAGGATCAGTGCTTATGAAGGGGTTAGATTCCCTGGAAGTGTCTGGTTGGATGTCTGTGCTTCCCCTCTTTATCGATCCAATGTACAGTTATTTAAATGACTACTGCATTTTTAAGAACAAAGAAGACATTGCCCCTTATTGTCCTGAAAATCTTGCCGAAGTACAACTTGAATAAAATTTTCATTTAAAGCTTCAAGAAATTGTGTTTAATGGTCTACAGGTTGTTTTACATTTTTTATCCCCCACTTAATTTAAAGTTTAACCTTTGAGCTTGTCCTCCATCTCTCAGAGTTGGTACTATTTTCGTCGTCCAGTTCCTCTTGTGGAAACTCCACCAGTTCACTGGTTTTGATCTCACTTCGACAGAGAGGACAGCGTGCTTTGTCCTGTTCAAACGCACAGAGCACAAGGGAAAAGATGAAAATGTTCATGACTGGCAGCTAAAACATCAATTATGTAGTAGCGAAAACTTTTAAATCAGAATTCAGGCAAATTGAAAAGCCCTCGGCCTGCTGAGGACACGTACCTGCTCAGTGCTGATGACTTGTGCGATGCAGGGCCGGCAGTAAACGTGGGCACAGTGTGTAATGACGGGAAGCTGAACTGAGTCCAGACACACCGAGCATTCCTCGTCAGAGCCGCTGGCCAACACCAAGCGCAACTTTTCTATCAGACGCTCCCGCAGCTCTGCTGGCGTTGCTGCAGCACCTACAGCAGAGAGAGGACACAGGGAAGGAAAGAAGAGTCAGGAACTTGATAGTTAAGAGCAAATGGATTTCAATGGACGGCATGATGAATAGAATCTGCAAAATAGAGTTACAGGTATGAACTCTAAAAGCCAATTTAGATGATGGTTTATGGTGGTAAAACAAGGACATTATTGGAAGAAAAAGAAGCAGGTTGGTGCACAGAATTTTTTTTTTTGAATCAGATATACTTTATTGATCCCTGAGAGGAAACTGCAGGTAACACTAAAGTTATTTTATATTACATCAT